TGTGTTATATAATATAATAAACATGATGATGTAATCTATGAACGTTACCCGTCTTCCTCGCAGTATCTGTGTGCAAAGGAAATGATGTCAGAGGCGCGACCACTGCCATCGCAGACGACAACGGGGACCGGAGGCTCCTCCCTCAGACTCTCCAACACGATGGAGATGACATTGGGACCCCCCTCCAGAATCAGACAGACCACAGGGACGCCCTGACCCAGACCTGATCCACAGAAACACACTCAGTAACAGAAAAGAGAGACTCTACCGACTGCCATGAGTTTGTAGCTATTAAGCTAGGCTAACAGTTCCCCCTGCTCCCAGTGTCTGTGCTAAGCTAACCCGTTCTGGCCCTCTCTTTGTACTGGACACCCACAGAAACGTCTGGAGGAGACAGCAGACATTTGTCTGTCCCTGGGAGGACATGAAGTGAAGTGAGGGGTGACGGCTGAGCCCCCCTTTGCTGTCCCTGCCTTACAGTCAGCTCCAGGCATAGGATGACAAAGGGAAACCCACAGGTCACAGGATGCATCACAGCAGCCTCCACAGGAATCCAGACCTGGAACCAGAAACCCTCCTTTATTGACCTTTTCAGTCTTTTGTGGGCGGAGCCTAACTGCTGTCAGACAGACACAGTTAGCTAGCTTAACGGCTGATTGGTTATTCCAGTAGGTCACATGTCACAGGTGTGTTACTCACGTGTGTTGATCTTCTGCAGAGCAATGTGTTTCTCCAGCTGCCGCCGCAGTCGGACCTCGGCCCCATACTTCCCACTGGTCCCGTTGTCGGCTAGGATGAAGTGTGAGTGGCTGCTGTTGAGGACTGCCAGCTTGCTGAGTGGGTTGGACATGGTCTGATAGGGCCGGGTCACCTGCAACACAGTGATTGGTTCAGTCTGGTTGAGTCAGGTTCAGTCTGGTTGAGTCAGGTTCAGTCTGGTTGAGTCCGGTTCATTCTGGTTTGTCTTACGTCTCTCCCAATCAGGTCCTCTTTGTTCTCGATGATGCCCCACGGTGCGATACCAATGGCGCAGACTTTTCCTCTGGACTTTGACGAATGATCCTTGAGAGCATCTCCAACATGGCGGATCACTCCTGAAACACCACAGAAGACAGTCAGGGTCCAGGATCAGGTACAGATACATGGTCCAGGTACAGGGTCAGGATCATGATCAGGTACTAGTCAGGGTCCAGGTACAGGATCAGGGTCCAGGTACAAGGTCAGGATCAGCTAACTCATTGAAGAATATGTGGAAACTGTATCATTAGCATTTAGCTTCATAGCGTCAGTTAGCGATAGCCTAATAATTTCATTATTAATTACATCAGTTCCTCCAGGAAGTTGTGATCACAACAATTAACGCTGGAGGGAAACGGGTGCCCCTCTACATACAAGTCCATACAGGAAATAAACAGTGTCCATCACTGCGGTGGAATCTCTCTACAGTCTGTTTGAATACCAGCTGTACTCTATATTATTATTTAATAATATAATATATTATACCGATGCTTTAATGCATTTTTATGTATGTAATGTCCTTGTGATGGAGAGGCACTGATTCAGTGGCCCAGTGGGATTAGGACGATAGGAGGATTTAAAGCAGAAAGAAATGGGAAGCCCCATTCTGCCAGTAATTAGCCAGATCCATTCAGACACAAACAGTTGGATTTTATATGATTCACGATTAGTGGGAAAGATTTCTTTCTTTTTTAAAGTTTATATCATTATTGAAGATGTGATCACAGTGTACAGTGCCAGAGCTTCAGTCTCTACCCTCTCTACCTCTGGAGTTCACAGATCAACGTTACATCTGCACTGTTTTCTCTGTAGGGGACCCAGTGTATGGTTTACCGGTGCTAACCCCCCCGGTGAAGATCCAGGCTCCAGTGGTCACGGCTGCTTTGATCAGTCCTTTCCCAAAAACCTGCTTCAGTTTGGGGGGCAGGTCGAAGTTCTGCAGTCCGCCGTGGACGGAAATCAACAGAGTGGGAAGCTCCAACTGCCAGTCCTTCACCATCAACTGGAGCAGCAGGTCTGGTCGGGAGTCATAAGAGACACGGATGTACTGCAGGAGGAGGCGGAGGAAGAAGAGGAAGAGGAAGAGGTTATTGATGTTGACCTCCCTCACAAACATGCATGGTGTGATACGCAGTGTGAGATACAGTGTGTGTAATACGCAGTGTGTGTGATACGCAG